AACTCCTCATCCCCTTTGTGCTTTCTGACCAGTGTTCCCTGTTCGCTGACGCTTTGGGCGGCCACCCTGGGCAAGATACAAATTCCGCACAGCTGATTAGCAGAGCACCCACAGCTGGCAGTTTGTTTCTATTGGTGGTGCACATTTGCACATGCCTTGGTGCACGTAACAAAATTTATTCCACACAGGGCTGGAAGAAATTAGAGGGAATATTGCTTATGACCGGCTTCCCACGGGGTGGTTGGGGAGGCAGGTCATGAGCAGCATGGTGGCTTTGGGGCTTTTTCAGTGCAGGATTTCAATCTCTTTTATTTTATTTTTTCCCTTACTCCAGGAGAAGAATTTTATGAAGCTTCCCCTTACGAGCCGGTCACCTCTCGTCTCTCTGATATATTCAGACTCGCTTCAATTTTCTCAGGTAATAAAAGCAAAACAAAACATGTTTTCACTGTTTTATATTCTCTTTCTCTCGTCTGTGAATAGACCTGCTACCAAGCTCCAGGGGAATGATAAAACATTCGTTCCTTTCCCCATTCCTCTCTAACCCCTAAATATCTCATATCCCTTCCCCCTTCCCTGGTGGCCTTGAACTCATCATTGTGGGACTAAGATGTTGCAGCCTGGAGCTATGGATAATGGTGATGTCTCGAGTGCTGCTACTAGGAGTGATTTGGGCCAGATTCTCAATTTCCCTGCACCTCGTGTGGTTATTTTCACCAGTGCAAAGCAGGTGAGAGAGAGACACAGGGCGTGTGCTCTTCACAGAGCAGCATGTGAGAGAGGGCGTGTCCACACTCCCACTTGATTGGCAAAAGTTTTGTCGCTCATGGGTGCTGAGACCCCACCCCCATCCCCTCATAGAATCATAGAATAATAGGACTGGAAGGGACCTCGAGAGGTCATCGAGTCCAGCCCCCCGCCCTCAAGGCAGGACCAAGCTCCATCTACACCATCCCTGACAGATGTCTATCTAACCTGTTCTTAAATATCTCCAGAGAGGGAGATTCCACCACCTCCCTTGGCAATTTATTCCAATATTTGACCACCCTGACAGTTAGGAATGTTTTCCTAATGTCCAATCTAAACCTCCCCTGCTGCACTTTAAGCCCATTACTCCATGTCCTGTCCTCAGAAACCAAGAGGAACAAATTTTCTCCTTCCTCCTTGTGACACCCTTTTAGATATTTGAAAACCACTATCATGTCCCCCCTTAATCTTCTTTTTTCCAAACTAAACAAGCCCAGTTCATGAAGCCTGGCTTCATAGGCTTCTCTAGACCTTTAATCATTCTTGTCACTCTTCTCTGTACCCTTTCCAATTTCTCCACATCTTGCTTGAAATGTGGCGCCCAGAACTGGACACAGTACTCCAGCTGAGGCCTAACTAGTGCAGAATAGAGCGGCAGAATGACTTCACGAGTTTTGCTTACAACACACCTGTTGATACAACCTAGAATCATATTTGCTTTTTTGGCAACAGCATCACACTGTTGACTCATATTCAACTTGTGGTCCACTATGACCCCTAGATCCCTTTCCGCCATGCTCCTTCCTAGACAGTCGCTTCCCATCTTGTATGTATGGAACTGATTGTTCCTTCCTAAGTGGAGCACTCTGCATTTCTCCTTATTAAACCTCATCCTGTTTACCTCCGACCATTTCTCTAACTTGCTAAGGTCATTTTGAATTATGTCCCTATCCTCCAAAGAAGTCGCATGAATGACAAAGCTTTGCCACAGCAAGTGAAAGGATGAACATGACGCTGGCGGCTGGCCCCCTCTCCTGCCGAGACCTTATTAGGGGCTGCCATAGCTCCTTCCCCACTCTGGCATGATAAATGCAGAAGTGGGGACCAGCAAAAGTGCCCCAAAATCTTATCTTCCCAGGCTTTGCTATAAAACTTCCCCCCCAAAATCTTAAAAGCCTAGATTTTGGGGATAAAATCCGCTGCCACCACCCAAGTAAGGATAAGAACATCAGGGGAGAGATCCCTTGGGAAATCTCACCTCCTAAGTAAAAACCAGGACACAAAAATTAACCAATATTAGGTTAATAAAGAAAAAGAGAAAGAACTTTTATTATCACCACAATCAGGGCCGCATTATGACTTTTGAGGGCCCTAGGCACTTTTGCCTTCGTGGGCTCCTTCCTCCATTAAAAAAAATATTAAAAATTATTTTTGATATAACTTTAAATACTTCAACATTTTTTTTTCTGTTTTAGGCAGCATTTAATAGATTTTCGTGGGCCCTAAACGTTTCATTTTTTTCTGGTGTGAGAAAAAAATTAAAACATTTTCTTCGACCCTAAAAGTTCTTTTTTTTCCTTCTGATTTTAAAAGAAATTAAAACATTTTCATGGGCCCCTAAAAGTATCATGGGCCCTAGGCACTGTGCCTGCTGTGCCTAATGGATAAGTCGGCCCTGACCACAATATTCCTGTTGCAAGCATGACTAGATGGAAAAGTCATAAAGTAATACACTCATGGGTTCCCACTATGGGCCTAGAACTTTAGTTACAAAGGAGAGCAAAAGACATTTTTAAATGCACAGACATCAGATCCCATTCCCAGACCATAAAACAATAAAACCTAACGGATTTATCTGAATTTTACCCTCCTTACAGATAGTGAAGAAAGAGTCTTTTCTTGGAGGGAGACATAGTGTCTGTCCCCCTCAATAGCTGGAGAGAAACTGCCCAGGATAAAGGAGAGGGAAAGACCAAAAATTGCTTTGTCCCAGTTTGAAATTCCTACCTACATTCCTATTGGCCAACTCTGCTGCCAACTCTACCTGGGTTAGGTATAGTTAACCCCTCAGTCCCCAAGCTGCTGGCCATCTCTCATGATCATGACAGGGGCAGAAGGATTTGGTTGGCAAATGGTGTTGACATGTTTCGCAGCAAGGCGGTGTCAGCACTAAATGCTGCTTAGTGTAGACCTAACCCTATGCCAGACCAGCATAGCACCAGTCAAGGGAGACCAACTGTGCGGGTGTGGCTGTTGGGCCTTTGTTCTTGTTCAGTAACTGTTCACACCCCCTGTGCACTAGTGCTAGTGTAGCCACCACCAGGTGGATTTGAACCTGGGACCTCTGAAGTGGAGTATAGGAGCCTTTACTCTCTGGGCTAAAAGCCAGCTGGCTCCCAGCTGATGCTGTAGAGGTCTCTTGATTTTAACTGTTGCTGTGGTCTAGGTACCACTTGCATTGCTCAGTAACCACACTAGGGCTATGTCTAGACTGGCGTGATCTTGCGCCAGAAATGTTCAAATGAGGCTAAGTGTGGAATATCGCCGAGCCTCATTTGCATATCTAACGAGCTGCCATTTTTGCGGAAGAGGCTCTTACGCAAGGAGGAGCATCTACACTGCCCCTTCTTGCGCAAGAAAAACCCTCTTGTGCAATGCCGTTACGCTGATTATTCTCAGGAATTTGCAAGAGCCTCTTCCACAAAATGGCAGCTCATTAGATATGCAAATGAGGCTCAGCGATATGCCACACTTCGCCTCATTTGCATATTTCTGGCGCAAGATCGTGCCAGTGTAGACAAAGCCTAGGTGTGTGGGTTACACTAGCACAAAATGCAGGGCAACAGAAGCAATCTTGGGAGTAGCACATGCATCGGTATAGAATTGCACCAGAAGCTAATCTCGGTTATGCTGGTGCCAATCGGACAGCCCGGTCTAGGTTTCTGTGGCTCTACGTGGTGTTTAAAGCAGTGTAACTAACTGAAAGCAGAGTCCGGCCCTGGGTACATAGAGTGCTGGGCCTACGTGAGCTCGCTAGTAACACTCTGCTCCGGCGTCCAGTAGGAGGCGAATGTAGAGTTCGTAGAGCAGGGATGAGCGTGCGTTGGTCCCTGGTGGGTACAGACCAGACTGCATCTCACCCGTCTCCACTCTGCTCGTTTTTCTCAGCTGCGAGGGGTCCTCTTTGCAACCCCATGGTGGCCTTGGTAATTACCGTTGTGGCGAGGGGAGTTAGGCGTTGCGGATGGCTTTTGTGCAGCTGTTGGAGCTGGGTACCTGGCTCCAGCTCCAGCTGAGATCCTGGGCCGGGTGAGTTCCAACTGTATCTCCCTGGAGACCTTACAGAGATGGTGTCGGGGAGCAGCATGGGACCTCTCGGTGTTGGTCCCTGCCGTTGTCTATGATGGGTAGTTCTAATGCTTCAGCTTGACGTGAGTTTCTCACCTCTAAGGGCCTCCCTGCTGCTAGAGACTCAGTAACCACCGAGGCCTGGCATGCAGCTTCTCCCCTTTCTCATCTAGCTCCATCCCATGGAGAGCCCCCGTGTAACCAATGGCAAGATGTGTTGATGGGTTGAGGGGTAAACAGCTGTGTCTGATGCCTCCCATTCCCTGACAGGGCAATGCATTTGCCACATGCTTCCAGCAATGCAAAAGAGGCTAATAGATACGGCGGGAGCGATGCCTGAGCTCCTGCTCTTCGGAGCAAAGCCTGGGGAAATGGCCAAAAAAAGGTGCAATGAATCCAGGACCCCAATTCCCAGCTGGTGTAAACGGGCAGATCTCCATTAACTTACGAGGAGAGGTGGAGGGATTTGGGCTTGTTTCGTCTGCAGAAGAGAAAAATGAGGGGGGATTTGAGAGCAGCCTTCAACTCCCCGATGCCTGAGCTCCTGCTCTTCGGAGCAAAGCCTGGGGAAATGGCCAAAAAAAGGTGCAATGAATCCAGGACCCCAATTCCCAGCTGGTGTAAACGGGCAGATCTCCATTAACTTACGAGGAGAGGTGGAGGGATTTGGGCTTGTTTCGTCTGCAGAAGAGAAAAATGAGGGGGGATTTGAGAGCAGCCTTCAACTCCCTGAAGGGGGGTTCCAAAGAGGATGGAGAGAGGCTGTTCTCAGTGGGGGCAGATGGCAGAACGAGGAGCAATGGTCTCAAGTTGCAGTGGGGGAGGTCTAGGTTGAATATTAGGAAAAACTATTTTCCTAGGAGGGTGGGGAAGCACTGGGATGGGTTCCCTAGGGAGGGGGTGAAATCTTCATCCCTAGAGGTTTTGAAGACTTGCCTAGACAAAGCCCTGGCTGGGATGATTGAGTTGGGGTTGGTCCTGCTTTGGGCAGGGGGCTGGACTTGACGACTTCTGAGGTCTCTGCCCACCCTAGGAGTCTAACTTCAGTGGCGCGGTGCAGTGTACAATAGCACAGAATTTTCCTGGCCTGTCTCCGTTAGACGTGACTGCAGGAGAGTGATGATGCTGTGGATGCTAGAGGTACAGCTGTGGTACTAAGCTGTCCCCCTGTAGTGTGCATGTGTCCTACATGAACAGAAAGGGGTTTTCCATGGACATAGGTAATCCATCTCCTGAGTGGTGGCAGAGCTAGTCATATCTGCACAGGGAGGTGGGTTGGCCACCTTCTCATCGTCTGTGCAACTGGTACTGTGAGAAGTGCGG